AGATTTTTTTTGGAAAAGTTATTAACATAGTGACATTGAGAATCTGATTGTAGCATCTATCTGACATAATGGTCCAGATTAACTTAATACATTTTGTTATAACAGACGGATGTTTTTTTGCTGATGTTGTTTTGTTCATAATAGTATGAATTTATTATTAGTTGGATCTTTATCTGCCCGGGCCAAGCAACTTCAGCCCCATGAGTACAATTCAGGTTTTTAATATTTTGTATTTGTAAGCTTGAATGCAGAGTTCTGGTTTTGTAAACTTCTTTCAATAGAAAATGTAATTGAGTTATGCTGGTTGTGCATGTAGGGACTTTTACTCTTTCCAATTTGGGCATGTTTGGAGTGGATAGGTTTGATGCTATTCTTCCTCTAGGCCAGGTTAGTAATGAGGGCGAGGCCTTTCACCTCCAATAACTTATGAAGTTCTCTACTCACAAATATATTTAGCTGTTTGATTTAAACATTAATCATGTCCAGGGGGCTATAATGGCTGCTAGAGCATCAAAGCCTACTGCTATAATAGGTGAGGTGAATATAAATTGATTGTGAATTGGCCAGACCCAAGTTTTACATTCATTCTTAGATTCAGTAAATGCTTATACACAGAGAATTCATCATGGTTCAGTAGTTGTCTGCAGCATCTCTGTTTCTGAAGTTTGATTTTCTTCACTCTTCTGCTGCTGTTTGCTATATAGAAGTAGGAAACCCCTTTCTCTACTTGAAATATATTTTTCTATATTTTTCTGTGTAACCCAGATGAAATATATATATATATATATATATATGCATTTATGTGATGTTTGTTGTTTGAACCTATTCAGAACAAAGTAACAATTTTTACTAATATTCATTCATATTTATAATGTGTGTCTGAGCTTGGTTTTGGCTATAGATGATGTTGCTAGATTTGTTTCTTGAAGTTTTATTTTATTTTTTCTAATAGTAATCTTGATTGTGAAATATTTCATCAAGCTTCTTTGATCTGGCATAAACCCTTTTTCACTTTGATTTTCCTTTTTACCATTCTACATATAGTTTGTTCCTAATCTTTAAAAAAATGCTCCATTTCAAATTTGTCATTGATTTATAGAACTTATGAATCGCTTTTACTAGACATTCAAAAATAGGATTTGTGTGTGTTAGATAATTAAATGTGTTATATATAGATATATATTGGTTTCTAGGTGTGGATTTGGGATGGGTGTTAGTGTTTCGGATCATATTTTCATGAATTGAATGATTTATATTATAGGATTCGTTGAGTACATCATTTGCATAAAAAATCAAGTTAATGGAATAAATATAGACTCATGATCAAACTCCACTTTTTAAAAAAATTATCAAAATCATATTAACTATTTATTTTTTTAAAACATAAACATAATCTTATTATAAATTATGAATATATAATTAATCTGAATTATTTAATCTCTTCTCCCTATTAGATCTCAACCCACTACGGCACCTCCGTCCTCCATTGCAGAGAAACTGTAAATCATCTATACCCATCTCTGATTTTTATTTTTTATTTTTTATTTTATATTTTTTGAATATTAATATTAAATCGGAATCGGAAGCGAACAGTTTTTTTTCTTCTTCTTCTTCCATTAATATTAATATTTCAGAAATTAAGAGGACAAATTATCTCTTTATTTGAATTTATGTTTGAATCAGATTTTTGTTTCTTTTGTTATATAGATTACCATGTCATATTGTTGATTATGGTTTCATGTCTATAAATTGTGAACAGCTCTTTTTTTTTTCTTCCATCTTTCTGTATCATTAATTTACATGATTTTGTTAGTTCTGTTAAGCCCAGTTAGAAGAATAAGCCCAGTTAGAAGAAAACATATATTTCTGACAGTTGGTATGGAGATTTGGATTGAATTAAGAATATGATTTTCATAGTGTCAGTTTTTTAACTTAGTTTTGACAGTTTGGAGTTTATAAATTCAGATTCTTTGAAATAACAGAAGTAATGGGCTTCGTCTGTATTTATATTCTGTTTTCGACAATATTGGTTCTAGCTCGCATTTGTTATTTATTTATTTTTTGATGTTTTATTAAGATAATTTGTGTGAATAAGCCATTTTAAGACAATTTTTTCCTTCTAATCTTAGTTTAAAACAGTTTGTCCTAATTTGTGTACTGACTTCTTTTTTTTTTTTTTTTTGAACAAGGTGTACTGACTTTAATTTGTGTGTATTAGATACGATTGTGTGTATTATATATGGATGTGCACTAAATCTGAGCATGTTAATGAACAGATTTAAGCATCCATTTTATAGTTTGTTCCTAATCTTTAAAAAAATGAATTTTGAATTGGAAAACATTAGGATTCAAATTGTTTACAAGCTCTGTCAAATCATATGGTTTGGACCATGAATTGGAAAACACATGTCCATGTTCCACATATTTTTCTAGCAGATGTGTTTGATAATTGAGGAATACTAGATAATTATAGGATTTGTGTGTATTAGATAATTAAATGTCTTATATATAGATATATATTGGTTTCTAGGTGTGGATTTGGGATGGGTGTCAGTGTTTTGGATCATATTTTCACGAATTGAATGATTTATATTATAGGATTCGTTGAGTACATCATTTGCATAAAAAATCAAGTTAATGGAATAAATATAGACTCATGATCAAACTCCACTTTTTTAAAAAATTATCAAAATCATATTAACTATTTATTTTTTTAAAACATAAATATAAAACTGAAGTTTGAAAACATGACATAAACATAAACATAAAACTGAAGTTTAAAACATAAACATAAAATCATATTAACTATATAATAAGTCACAAAGGTTTTTGAATTTATGTCAAAAATATATGTGAGATACATTTTGATCCAATGGCTGAAATTAATCCCAAGTTTGTATCAATGGTTCAGATCAATATATCTCCCGCCCAAAAGACTTTCTCCCTAAAAGCATCATTGTTGCCTTCCCACCTACCCATGTCTGCCTCCCCCCCTTTCCTCTCTCTCTCTCTCTCCCTCTCCCTCTCCCTCTCTGTTCTTCTTCTTCTTGAATACTTCTTCTCATCTGTCCTTCACAGATACATCTCTCTCTCTCTCCTCAAAACTTTTCTTTCTTCTTCCTATTTCTTTCATACGTTACTCTCTCTTCTCTTGCGATGACCACCGCCGTCGCAACACCGACGACCACCGACCACCTCTCATCTCCCTCGCTGGAGACCCAAACCCGAACCCTTTATTCCTGTCCTCCTCCCTCTCTCCCAGCCATAACCTTAATCCCTTCATCTCCCGCTCCCTCATCCCCCTTCATCACTTTAGGGCTTTAAGGCTAGACCAAACTCAATCTGCAGAGGCAGTCTTGCTGTTCCTGTTCGGAGAAAACCCACCGCCAGTGAGCCAAGATGGAACCTTGGCCTTCGCTCCAACGCCAACAGGTATGTATGTATGTATGTATTTCACTTCTGTCTTTCAAATTCCATGGATTGTTTCAACCCAATTGGATTTCTGATATCTTCTTGCAAATCCCTCTCTTCTTGCCCTCCGTTTTCTTGGAATTTCTGCCTTCTTGATTTCGCTTTGTTTGATTTTTATGTGTGTTCTTTATGCTGAGTTATTATACTCACAATGTTTTGAAATCTATGCACCTTTTGAAGTTACTTATTTCTTCTTTTGCTTACAATCTGGAAATGGTTGTTATGATAAAATTGATTTTTGTAAATTGGTGATACTTATGTACACTTATAGAGGTTGGTCAAAATGGTATGTAAATCCCTCTGATATCTTCTTGCAAATCCCTCTCTTCTTGCCCTCCGTTTTCTTGGAATTTCTGCCTTCTTGATTTCGCTTTGTTTGATTTTTATGTGTGTTCTTTATGCTGACTATTATACTCTCAATCTTTTGAAATCTATGCACCTTTTGAAGTTACTTATTTCTTCTTTTGCTTACAATTTGGAAATGGTTGTTATGATAAAATTGATTTTTGTAAATTGGTGATACTTATGTACACTTATAGAGATAGGTCAAAATGTTATGTAAACTTCTTGAGAGCACAACTTGGTTAGGAGATAAAACATAAACAATCCTTGGTGAAATTCAGTACCCAAATCTGCCAATTCGAAGTTGTTTGGAGTTAAAGCACAATGTAAAATACCACCTCAAGTAATTAGATGTAACAGCGTCACACCTTTCCTTCCTTCCTTCCTATTTTCATTTCTTTTCAATCAAACAAGAAGAAGGAAACCCATAGCCGCTTCCCTAGGGTCCTATTTCCATTCTCTCTAGTTGTTCATCTTTTTCACCAAACATAGCTATTTTAACACCAACACAGAGAGCTGTGTGGTGGTGTCAATAGAGAGACATCTACTGATGACAAGAAATGCTAAATTTGTTCAATTCATGGGGTGGAAACCATTGACTAGAAGAGTGAGAAATCATGTCCAATTCATTGCTTACACCTGAGAGTGTTACTAGAGGTAGAAATTTCATATGCAAGTGTAAATTTGAGATTGTGAGAAACTTGAGAAATTCCACTGATACACTTTGATGACAATAGAAACATGTGATGTGGTAGTACGACACTAGGACTCTTAGCAAAGGGTTGCTTACAATTGGTTTTTTGGTAGACTAGGGTTATGGAAAGCTTGGCTAAATGACTTCAATTGCATTATCTTCTACATTTATTTTCTCTGTAATGTTTTTTTATTTTTTATCTGCATTGGAAGGCTACAATCGAAGTCAATTAAATTCTGTTTGATGTGGATTTGAATTTCATTCGAAAGGAAATCATATTCTTGGAAATTGCAATCTTAGAATAAGTCTTTAATGTTAGTATAATATTATATCCTAAAGAAATAACTTCAAGTAATATATATCCTTTTTCTTTTTTCTTTTTTTTTTGGGAGATTAGGTAATCTTCATTTTTTTCAGTGTTTGAAATTTGTTGCTATATATATATATAAAATCTGCATGTTGAATAGATTGTAAATTTGTAATTCTTGGTGGTGTGAAGTTCTGGTTTTCTTCCCCTTTGGAGTTGTTGAAATTGAATTCAAACAAAAAGAAAAGGGAAAAAAAAAAAAAAAAAAAAAAAAAAAAACTGCAATATAATTTTTAAAATTACCTATTTTTTGCGACAGTGTGGTGCCGTTGCAATAAATAAATAAATAAATGTAATATAATTATTAAAAATATTAAAATTACCTGTATTAAATGAAAAACAATTGAAAAAGAAATCAACAATTGCATAATAATATAAAAATTCTTGTATAAAAAAATAATTTCTCCATAATAAAAATATTCTTGCATTCATAACTACACATCAACAAAATTATCCCACTACATAATGTTCCATAATACATATATAATGTTTAAATACATAATGTTCTTCGTAATTCAAAATAACATAAACCAAAATTACAAGTTTTGCTCAAACAAAATTTGAAAACAAAACCAAAGGGAATTAATTCCAAAATTATTTTGATGCTTTGGGAAGATGCATGTGTTGATAACTGTTAGATTTTAGTTTGGACAAAATTCCCCTTCTTTATTGCCAATTGAGTAAGCAACTTTTCTTTTATTTTGTTTTTGTAAATTTTTTTTTTTTGGGTGGATTGATTAAGAAGAAGAAGAAAAAAAATCAATTTGAATCACTTTAGATAGCCATAATTATGGTCGTCATTTTGGGTGTTGTTTCTGTTTTTCAAGTTTTCAGAAACAAAAACAATGAGTAGTTCAAAAACACCAATTGTTTTCATTCTTTTGTGAAAGTAACTTTGAAAATTTAAAAAACAATTCAAATAAGCTTTTTTCAAAAAACTTCAATTTTCAAAAACAGTTGGCAAGCAAATTTTCTGAGTCAACTTCTATTTTCTGTTTTCCAAAGTAAAAGACTATACTAAACTCACCCATATAGTTGTTGATTTTCATTCCATTCTGTTGCAAACACAGAAAAGAGCATAAAACATGCATTAATGAAATAAAATTTTATAAAATTCGTTGATGAGGCCCACTTTAAAAAAAAAATTGTCTTTCATATATTGTAATGCTACAAATCCAGAAGATTTACTTTAGAAAATCACATAGAAAAAAAAAAATGAATAGTCTACATCTATTTTGAGTGTGTGTGATCTACATTCCATCAACTTTAAATTTACATCACACACTCACTTTTAGAATAATATTCAAGATAAATTTTCATGAACCATTGCATTTTATTCCATATATATTTTATGTCCGATGCTATAATCAGTTTTTATGTATCCAGAACTTATTGATTTTTCCTATCTAAAAAACGAAACTTTCATGACCCAAAAAACAAGAACTAGAACCCAAAAATAACCACTGCACAGCCACCAATGGGTTTTTAAACATAAATCAATTTGAATTCAAGACATCCAAAACATGTAGCATATCCATCTTTCCACATAGTGAAACACTTGCTATGTTCTGACTTCTAAGTTCTAACCAGTTGAGTGCATTAATTGCAATTTAGAAGTAAATGAATTGTCTATCATCAAGCAGTTCTAACATTTGGATATGAGCAATTCAAATGTACATTGCCACTTGTTGTATGCATGAACATATGATTTACTAGGAAGTAATGTAACCATGGTGGTGATGGATCAGATAGCCAATTTAATATTGTCATTTCTCAGAGAATAGAGTGGATCAAGTATCTAGGAGTTTTTGCTAACATGGAAACCAGAGCAAATCAAGTCTATGATGCTGTAAGTACACAAATTTTCGCATTTATTTACCACTATCTAAAGTTAATTAAGTACCATGTTTTCATGAATTAGTCAATACATGGATTTCAGATTTGGTTAGATTTCAGATTTGTTTATTAGATATTATAAATATGGTTAGATTTCTCAAGTTTACTGCTAATCGATGGATTTCAGATGGATTTTAGATTTGGTATTTATAGATGGATTTCATATTTCTCAAGTTATAAATATGGTATTTATAGACGGATTTCAGATTTGTGGGTATATATAGATGTTATAAATATGGTTACATATTTACAGAATCTATTGGTTTCAGATTCTAAGAATTTTTTAAACTGAAATGGAGTACTTGGATTTTTTAACTACTTTCATGTTGTTGCTTTGTAAAATATTCTCACTCATTATGAAAGACGTGAATATCACAAAGAGCTTAACATTCTCTATGATTTCAAGAGCAAGGTTATCTTTTCTTTGTTTGGTTTTTGTTCTGTTATTATAACCCTTCAAGTAAACAAGGGCAAGCAAGCATAGGATTAGTATCCAGAGTTTAAAGTGCATTTTCTTTGGCTAAGTGGATGAGATAAAGGCTGAAATGGAGTACTTGGGTTTTTAAACTACTTTCATATTGTTGCTCTGTAAAATATTCTCACTCTCTCTATGGGAGCTTGCATTTTAAGATTAGTATCCAGAGTTTGGTAATGAGGTGCGGTGTTGAAGAGAATGAAAGAGTAGAGAAAAAATGTTGATTTTTGTAGCACCTAATCTAAATGAGAGAATTTTTTTGGAGCATTTGAGGATTAGGATTTAGCTGTTGTAGAGCTCCCGGCTTTCACCTCACTGAACGGTCCTTCTAGCGAAGGATCTAGAATAGAGTTTGGTAATGAGGTGCGGTGTTGAAGAGAATGAAAGAGTAGAGAAAAAATGTTGATTTTTGTAGCACCTAATCTAAATGAGAGAATTTTTTTGGAGCATTTGAGGATCACGATTTAGCTGTTGTAGAGCTCCCGGCTTTCACCTCACTGAAACAGTCCTTCTAGCGAAGGATCTAGAATAAGTTGAGGGTTGAATTTCATGCTCTTGAGTAGGCCGCCCTGTCTTATTTTTGAGTTGATTTAGTTAATCATAGTAGGGATGATTGCCTTTTTCTTATGTTTGGTACTTGAAAAAGTGTTTGCTGGTTAGCATTTAATTGCATTGACAGTTAATTATTACAAATATTTTTTTTAATAGATGGTACATTTGTCAAATAGAATTGTTAATACTTTTATGTCCTAAATTATCATTAGATTTTTTTTTTCGTTCTTAAACTATGAATTTGTTTATTGTCTCTAGAGTTTCTTATAGGAATAGTTTTGGTGGATATAGCAACCATGGTTTAAAGGAATATTAAGAAAATATTCAAAGTTTGATTAATCTTCAAAATATTCAAACAATCTGCCTTATTTTTACAATCTGCTTTATTTTGTATTCAAACAATCTGCTCTATTTTTATTTTGTATATGGAAAGTATTCAAAGAGGTGTGGTTCTGCCCATATTAAAGAGGTGTGGTTTTGTATATTGAAAGTATTCAAAGAGGGCCCTTGAAGTTCTACAACAAAGAGGTGTGGTTCTGCCCATTCCAGTGAATTTATCTTTACATTTATATACATGGTTTCATTTATTTATTTGAGTTTGTTCTTTTTGTTTTCCCAATTTTCAGATTATTTTCCTTATCAGATTCATGCAGCAGCTTTTTGTTTGCCATCTTTCGCCAAGAAGGTGATTGAATCCAAATCTAAATGAGAGAATTTTTTTGGAGCATTTGAGGATCAGGATTTAGCTGTTGTAGAGCTCCCGGCTTTCACCTCACTAAAACGGTCCTTCTAGCGAAGGATCTAGAATAAGTTGAGGGTAGAATTTCATGCTCTGAGTAGGCCGCCCTATCTTATTTTTGGTGAGTTGATTTATGTAGACGCGCCCGCGTGAGGCCTTCATGCTACAGTTCGGACTCAATTTGTCACGGTCTTTAATCTGAACCAAAGAGTCCAAATCCGGCAAATCGTTTTGAGAAAACAGATTTTGAAAAAAGAAGTGTCAAACATGGACTGCTTTGCCAGATACAGAGTGGCCACCTAAATATTTTGTATGGGGGAATTTAGGAAACCTTGACTCGGTGCCAAAGGCCACGTGTCCGTCATCACCAAAGTTGCCTCGGCTCGGGAGCTTGGGTACGATTGGGGAAGGTCAGCTATGAGCACCCCCTCTCGCCCGATTCGAAGATCGGCCTCTACTAACCGTGATATCCGTTTTTGAAAGCGTTATGTATTCTTATTTCGGTTATTAGCTAAGAATTACTATGTTATGCGCACAGCAAACAAGTATAGACCAAATCGCCTAAATTGGAACAAAACATAGCATGTTTGTTTTAAAAATGGTCTGCTACTCGCAAGTAGGCTAAAATGCAGGTTTTGCCACACTTAAGTAGACTTTTAGAAAAAAGATGGTTTTACCACTATCGAGTGGGCTTAAAACTCACAGTTTTAATGCATTATCCCAATTTAAGCAATTCGACCTTCATCCACAGGCATTCAAGCAATTATATCACATAAGCAGCTAGCCTCATGGTAATCATGCAATTATGGCAACACTCGCACGCATGCGGTATGCTAAAGCAAAAGGACTTACAGAGTACTCCAAGCCAAAACAGGGAACTCGTTAGCAAATCAATGTATGATCCAAGTCTATGTTAAGTGCCTAATGCAACGCATACAAAATGTCACTGGAATAGGCTCGGCTAATCTAGAAGTGGCATGTGAAATGCACCAACATCGTGTATTCAAGTTAGATTTGAAATATTAATGCAGTTAGCATGATGCGCCGAGCCCGGTGCATGCAATACTGATGAATGATGCACGCATGCATAGCATAAGGTATGCTAAATTAAACATGACCTATCACTAACCATCAAAGCAGGTAAGTAAAAGGGAGAAAGAAGTGGGGGTTGGAAGACATACACACACTCACCCACACTTATTACAAATTCGCCCTCGCTCGGAGGGACCGAAAGAATAATACAGTCCGAATAACAAACCAACTATCCTAGCTAATTAATTATTACAGACCAACTAAATTAGTTGAGCAAATCAACTAATCTAAGAAAGCGATTAACAGCCTCGGGAAAAGAGCCCAATGTAATGCATGCTCGGTCTTGCTCGGAAGTCCACTGCCATGCACAAGCTGCCTCTGTTTTCCCTGCTATACTCCTCTGAAAATTGCACAAACTCCAAGGTACACTGTTTGAACACTGTAGAACCCCACCAGCCAAGGGGAATGGTCACTGGCCGTGGGTTGGTGGTCATCGGCCACAAATGAAGCTATCGGCCACCGATGGATTGCCGGTCGGCACTCTATGCAGTCGATCGGCAAAAAGTTCCTGCAGAATCTGTTTGACAGCAGTAGAGGACAGAGCTTTGCATGGCAATGCAATTCAAGCAATGTATGCACCAACCATATCCCTTATCATGTTTATGACTTAAAGGGACATGGTCCTTGGTTCTCGGACCATCAATCGCGCATTTCGACGCATGATGGCCCAAGGAATCGAGTGTGCAACTTCAATTTCAAATGTAATGCAATGCAAATAAACAAGCAAAGGGGCTCAACCTCTATCATACTCAACTCAAGAGGTATAGCATGCGTGTTAATGCAACGCAATCCTAAACATGTGAGCTAGCATGCAACATAGGCAATGCAATGTGTACATGCAAGTATGCAAGCAAACATACAAGAGGAGGATGCAAACAAGCAAGGAGACGGACTTAAACTAAATTAGGCCACTCTCAAACAAGCCTAAATCAGCGGCCAAAGTGCTCAAACACGAGGGCCAACATACATACACGCATACACATGTTAAGACCTAAACACTTAAGCATCGAAGGATATCCTTTAAGCACACTTCAAGGGGAATAATCACGGACATATGGCATGCATTGGAAGCTTTAAAATCATGCTAAATATGATACCAAATCAATTAAACATGATAAGCCAAGGCATGCAACCAAGCCCAACGCCTAAGGCTCACCAAAGAGGCATTGAACTACACTTATCAAGACCAAACATGGCATGATTTAAGCAACTAAAATCAAGATTTTAGCATGTCAAAATGAACCCAAAAACCACTTAGATGACATCTAAATGACTTACACATGGAAGCATGCACAAATGCACTTTCAAGGAGCATGCAACACAAACTCTTGAAACATCAAAGAGCCATGAAATGCAAGTATACAAGCATGCTAAGTGGACTGAAATGACATGGAAAATAGTCCCAACTCACTAAATCAAAGCAAGTAATGCATGCTATACACTCACATACTTGAAGCCTAAAATGCAAAGGGGCTATGCAATGCATGCTAAAGTCGACCCAAACAACTAAGGATGTCTGTCATCACCAAAGTTGCCTCGGCTTGAGACCTTGGGTACGATTGGGAAAGGTCAGCTATGAGCACCCCCTCTCGCCCGATCCGAAGATCGGCCTCTACTAACCGTGATATCCATTTTTAAAAACGTTATGTGTTCTTCCTTTTCAAGGACAACAAGGAGAGGGGATGGCCCTCTCCTTCTTAGGACCTTAGGGCACCATCCTCACCACTAAAATCCTCAAGATTTTAGTGGTGAGGAGGCCCAAACAAAGTGGTCCCGGAGCTTACTAAAATAGCACAAAAATAGGGCCAAACAAGGCCTAAGAGGGGTCAAAGACCCCCAAATGACAAAGAAACCTTAAACAACTATGTTAAGAACTCAAAATTAAGACTTTTATTAGTTATATACAAAGTCTAAAAATAGTTGCAAGATAGGCTAAAAAGCTATGCAAAAATGGGGTAAAAAGGGACAAAAGTCTTACCCTTGTAGACCCTCTTCAACAATGGAGCTCCAGCAGCTTCTTGAGGTTGAAATCAACTTCAAAACTCTAAAAACAACCCTCAAGGGCCTCAGCTCCAAGGAAAGGTGTGGTAGTGTGTGTTTGTGTACAAAACTAAGGCTTAAACACACACAATACAAGAGAAGGAGAGATATAGATATAGGATAGATATAAAACCCTAAACCTAGAACCAGAGCTCCTCTAACAATTTTTTCTAACCCTAATGCCAAGAGAGGAGACCTCTTCTTATAGGCAACTCCCTCTTGTGAGGCTTCCAAAACAAGCCATCCAAGAGGGAAATCCCTCCATACACGTGTATGGAGGGGAACAGAGTGGGTGCCAGCTATCACAGCTGGCACAAAATATCTACTAAAAGTAGATGAACAGTGATCGGCCATCCAAAATTGCCACTTTGACAAAATAAATGGCCGATCGGCAACAAAGAATGCCGACCGGCAATATATATTGCCGATGGCATAAAATCACTGGCCGGTGGCCTCGAGCCATGGCCGGTGATGTGTGGGGATGCCTCACAAGGCATTCCCTACCCCTTCAAGGCAAAACACAAGTGTTTGGTGCAAAACCAGACACAAAACAGTCGAGTCGAGAGGTCCTGAGGCAAGGCGCGTATCCGAGACCTCCGGGAACTCAAGACGAACACGAACATGGATGATCACCGAGTGTTTGGGCGGTGACGTCCAAGTCTTGAGGACGGTCAAAAATGGGGTGTCTACAATTTAGTTAATTGTAGTAAGGATGATTGCCTTTTTCTTATGTTTGGTACTTGAAAAAGTGTTTGCTAGTTAGCATTTAATTGCATTGACAGTTAATTATTACAAATATTCTTTTTAATAGATGGTACATTTGTCAAATAGAATTGTTAATATTTTTATGTCCTAAATGATCATATTTTTTTTTCATTCTTAAACTACGAATTTTGTTTATTGTCTCTAGAGTTTCTTATTTTAGTTCATGTGGTTCATTAGAGACAAACAAAATAATAATAGTTGAAGTTTGATTTTATTGCTAAGAAAAGACAACCAAACATACAAACTTTCTTTTTTTAATATTTTGAACAAACTACACCCCACAAATCAATTTGATGGGTGTTTGCTTTGGTTAAATTGTTCAAATTTTAGACGGATCTTTTTTATCATTAAATTGGTTAAATTGTCTTTTAAAGGGCCTACAATCTGCCTTATTTTTATTTTTGTATTCAAACAATCTGCTTTAATATGTTAGGTTCTTATTTTGTATTCAAAATATGTTAGCCATCAATATATAAATACAATTAATTAATTAATACCACTAAGAAATTTAATTCACAACCTTAATACAAGCTATTGCAACCAACTCCAAGGTAAGGCTATTCATGCGCAATTGCATTAAGTTTGAATTGTGAAAATAAACGCCAATTGGTTATTAATGTGTTATTTTTTTTGTCTAATCTCTATTTAACTAGGTATAGTTTCCTTCTCTTCAGCTTAGCGGGGATCCTTTTGTTGCTTGTCCGCTCGAGCGGGGGTTTTGGCGCTCGAATGGGAAAAATACCCATCCAGTATCTCCTCTGTAGTGTTGTACGCTCGAGCGGCGGTTGTGACGCTTGAGCGGGAGTGTGTGAGTGCCGCTCGAGCGGGGAGTTGGACGCTCGAGCGAGAGACCTGTCTGCAAAAGTGCTGGGAGTGTGCATCTGCCGCTCGAGCAGGAGTTTGGTCGCTCGAGCGGGAGTCTGTGAGTGACGCTCGAGCGGGGAGATTGACGCTCATGCGGGGCGACTGGGTTAAAGCTCCGTGTTTTGACTTTTTAAATCACTTTTTCCACTTCTCTTCTCTCTCTTACTTTTCCAAAAACACCATTGTTGAGCTTCTCACTCTAGAGCTCTACTTTCTCTCCAGGTATTGATCTAGTAGGAGTGATTTCCTCACCTTTGGCCTTTACAAAAAAGTTGTTGATCGTCGAGGGCGTCATTTTGATCCGAGAATCTTGGTCTTTGGAGCACTTTAGTTTTGATCTCTTCTCTATCCGAGCTCTAACTTCGAGGTAGGGATAACCTACTCCTTACTATGGGTTCTGTCTTTAAATTTTAGCATTTTGAGATGTTGGGGTTGGGTTGGTAATGTTGTGAAAGTTTGGGGCTTTTGTGTAAATTTACAAAAGTTGGGGTTTTAGCTATATAAAACCTAGATGCATGTTTGGCATGAAAAAGTGAAATTAATGTTAAAACATTAATGAAAATGGAACCTAAGGATTGTAATGTTAATTATGGAAAATGCCCTAATTACATTGGTTAATTAATTTGCATAATTAATTATGAGGAATGAGAAATTGATTTGGAAATGTATGGAATTAAAGGGCGTAGTTAGATTATTTATCACTCACCTGGTTGACATGTTGATTATATATCCTTTGTTGCATTTATTTTCTGTATAGAAATAACTGCTTTGGGCTATCGGTGGAGGATAGTCTTGATTGTTGTAGAAAATGCATGATATTTAGGCAAACTGAAACTAATCACTGGAATGTGTCATTGAGTATGACGTTTGAAAGAATACATTAAATTTATGTGTTGTGTGATGATGTGTATAATTATTGTTTATATGCATTGTGTTGTGTTGGAGGAGATAGGGGATGTACTCCACGGTTTAGGGGAAGATAGGGGATGGACCTCTAAACCGGATGTTGTTGGGAGAGATAGGGGATGGACTCCATAGATAGAGCTCATATGCTTATCTAGTAATGTGTTGACATAGCTCATATGCTTGTCTTTGGAAGTGTGATAGTGCTCTTACGCATATCTATGGAAGTGATGATATAGCTTGTATGCTTATCTGTTGGTGTGTGATATAGCTAGTATGCTTATCTGTTATGAAATGGGAAAGTGCGTAATATGAGTTACTGTCTCATATGAGTTGTTTGGCCAGGTTCTGAGCCATGGTTACAAATTGAGAATTTGAAAGGAATTGGAAAATGAATGGTAATATGGACTTGTATGTCATGAAAATGTAAAGTGTGATAAGGGAAAATATCAGTGCTGGCCATCTATCAACTGCTAGTCTTTTAGTTATTGTTCATATTTGGTTTAGTGTATTTCTACTGGGCTGTGGCTCACCCTATATGGGAATATCATTTTCAGGTACAGGTAGCATGCCACCTCCAAGGACATAACTTGGGAGGCTTGAGGCGGACACACTTTTGTTGTCTTATTTCTTTTGATGTATTACATGTAAATTCAAGCCAAGGGCTTAATATGTAATCGAGTTAGTACTCCTTTCTTTGTAACCAAGTGTTAACTTGGAAAGCTGTAAGCCTTTAGGGCATTTGTTTTTGTTGTTAATATGTAATACTTTTGGTAATGGAACTCTGATGAATAGAAGAAAGTGGAGCTTTTATATATCAATGCATGTCTATGTTGATGGGTTTTATGTTATTATTTTGAGGGCGTTACATACAATCTGCCTTATTTTTATTTTTGTATTCAAACAATCTGCTTTAATATGTTAGGTTCTTATTTTGTATTCAAAATATGTTAGCCATCAATATATAAATACAATTAATTAATTAATACCACTAAGAAATTTAATTCACAACCTTAATACTGGTTATTGCAACCAACTCCAAGGTAAGGCCATTCATGCGCAATTGCATTAAGTTTGAATTGTGAAAATAAACGCCAATTGGTTGTTAATGCGTTATTTTTTGTCTAATCTCTATTTAACTGGGTATAGTTTCCTTCTCTTCAGCTTCACTTCCATTTGTATCATATAAATTTTGTGTGTTTCATAAACTTAATTTCCAATTTCTTTTCAGATTTTCCCTCTGCTGCTCTCCAGCCCTGTTCTTCTTCTTCCATACCCTCGCTCCCAAAACTGCTGCTCTCCAGGTAAGATCACTCTTTTCATTTTATGTGGTGACTATGTACTAGATTTATTTGTTTATAGATTGATACTATTTTCCAGCGTATTTGTAGAATCTAACAACTTTCTCCTTGATAGCTTTACATTCCACCAATCTGTTGCCTTGCTCATCAGAAATGTTGAGAATTTTGTTACTCATCATATGAGAAGCCACTTTCTTATGAAAAAGCTTAGTAATACTGTCACTTGAAGCAAGCCGCTGCACTCTTGATCTCTGTCGTTTAAAATTTCCTTTAGCAGTAGGCAAATCAATGTAATTTGCCAAACCTTCTTTCTTAGCTAAATGCATCTCCTCATCGAGAGGATTGTTGTGACACCTTTGCTGCAACTTATGAGGAGTATCTTTTGCTTCTAGAACTTTGGTAGAGATACCACTATAGAATATCTGGTTCAATTATTTCAGAACGGGCTTCAATCTTTTCAGTTTCAAAGACAGCTTCAACATTGCAGATCCTTAACTGCTATTTCTGGAGATTGTTTTCTTCGTAATTATATATCTGATTTCAGCACTTGCTGATATGGAAATTCTATATCTTTTTCTTTATTTTTTGGTCTCTTGAGGATGGGGGAGGCGATACATAATTGTTTTACTCCAATATCATGCTACCACTTCAAAAAAGCTAGACATAGGTGGAGATTTAAATTTGGAATTGGGAGTTTATAAGAGTTTGGTTCTTACATTGTCGAAACTATTCGCTCCCATTCTCTTTTTATCTCGAGTCGATCACTTCGCTCACTATTTTCAAACTAAAGGTAAAGATCACTCTGTTTATTATGTTTGATTGCTATCACACGGACTCTTTACATTAAGGTAAAGACTCTTGGCTCCAAATTTCAGGATTTTATCTTTGTCAGTTTCCGCGATACCTCTCTCTCTTTTTTATTCTTATTTGTGTTTGGGTTTGGCTGGGCAAAAGAATAATTTCTCCTAGGTTTCCTTTTCATAAATTTAATTTTTTTTCTTTCCTTTTAAACAAAGCCCAAAGTAACTGATATGGGTTTGTAGAATCGTACCTTAAGTTGGTGAGATACATGACCTGTGAAATTTTGACAGTGCCATATGAAGCCCAAAGTAACTGATATAGGTTTGTAGAGTCGTACCTTAAGTTGGTGAGATACATGACCTGTGAAATTTTGACAGTGCCATATGAAGCCCAAAGTAACTGATATGGGTTTGTAGAGTCGTACCTTAAGTTGGTGAGATACATGACCTGTGAAATTTTGACAGTACCATATGAAATTGATGTTTGTGGTGGTGACCATTGTTTTTTATTGGGGTTAGAGAAATAGACGTTTTGATGTCCATTTCTGAGGAAAATGAGGAGTAGTGGTAGATAGGGAAAAGAGATGGGGGTTGTGATGGATCATGGTAAGGGTAGCAAATGACTGTCAACACCAAAATAAAGGGAAAAAATTGTTAGACTATATAAATGGCCCATAGAAATGAATGGTTAGAATTAAAATAATTTCAAGTTAGGATTGATTTGTTACCGAGGTCAAGATTTTGAAGTTTTTTTTTCTTTTTAAAATTTCCCAAAAATCAATATATGAAATCATGAATTACTTGGTATATTTGTCATTTATCCTAGGTATGCATACAATTATAGGGCAGGCTCTTAATGCACTTCAAATTCTAGGTTGCATTTAAAGCCTCCCAACCACAAATATAAATAATGTCATAGATGGAAGAAGGCAATGTAACCAACTCTTTGCCAATTTAATGTAACCAACTCCTTGCCAATTCAAGTCAACAACAAGCACGAAGGCAGTGTAATTCTATGAACACAAAAAGTTAAAACATGTTTTGAACTGCCTAATAAAATGAAAGCAAAATTCTACTTACAAATTCTACCTATTATTATAATATTTTTATTCTTTTATAGGATTACTATTAAGAACTAAAAAACCTTATTGTTTTTGTTTGATTAACCTCTGATCATTTTTTGTAAAGGTTTTATCTGATTGGAATTTGGATTTGAATTCATCTGCAATCTATGATTTTGTCGGTCAAAGTGGCGTTCTTGAATTTATTTATTTATTTAATTTTGTTGTTTTGATTATCAATTTGATTCACTTTATAGTTTCTTACATTGGTTTGACATCGATTACTGATTGACACGATTAGGGTTTTGCTACCTTTGTTGAAATATGTTCTTTCATTTTTTTTTAATAAGGAATTGATTTTTGAAGATTTTGTATCTGCTTAGTTTTAGTTAAATGTGAATTGGGATTTCTGAGATGAAAGGTAATTGTGGATTTGTTGAATAATGTAATATGGGTATTGAAATGATATATTTATTGTAAGATCTTTTGCTTATATGCATTCATCTTTTGAAATAATGTAATCTTTCAATTTCTGCTTTGTGCATTGCAATTGAATATGGAGTTCACTGAAGAAAAAATTAGATGGTTGAAGCCTAAGGGGTATCAAAACAAATTCTTGCATGGAATAAGACAAGCTCTGTGTAGTTGAAAATTTCCAAATTTTGGTCAACAATTTAATAAGATGAATGTGATCAATTTTTCACAATTAAAGAATTTATGAATCTGAAACTTGACAATCGACATATTTGGAAATTTGACAATATAGAAAGAATCTCCCTGTTGT